CACTCCTGTATCCAGGTTACTGAGTTTGTCGCGCCCATGTATTACAGAAGATAAAGTCTATTCACAGAGGAGCTAGGCTTCCTTATGTATTTCTAATTAATAAATAAATGTAAACCAGGAAAAATACCTCAAGAAAAATGTACATCAAATATGTATATTTGAAAAATAGTTTCTCAAGTAAATATATGTCTGACATATAGTAAAAGTCCACAAGATATGAAATGGACAAGTGAACTAAGTTTTATATTAATAAATAAAATATCACAGCCAGATTTTAATTAAAAGAGATTTTATTTCCATTTCAGTACATACGATAATATTTAATAAGGGCTGTATTTGTTAATGTAAATATTTTCTATCAAATAGGATGTAAGAGAACAACATAGGTTATTGAATGAAGAAGGAAAAATAAAACTTTCAATGCAGGGGTATGCTTGCATGCTTCTGATAATTAGAGTAATCTGATAATTGACTTCTTTCCTCCCTTCACAATAGGGTGCCAATTAAAATAAACTACAATTGTGCTATTTGGTTTTTAGCATCAGAGCAGATGATGTTTGAGTTTATGGCCAGTTTTCTCAATGTGTTGTCCAATTAACCTCAATGGGAATGATTCACATCAAATCCCTGGGGTTCTTGATGAAAGGGAAAGTCAGCCAGGCTGCTACAGGGGAAACAACTTTTATATGCACTCTATAGCTCACTGGTGGGCCATTCTAGTGAAAAACTTGTGCCAGTAGAAACATTTCACTATTGAGGTAAAAGCCCCCCAGGGTTTCTTTGTGTATCATTGAGGTAGAAGAACCGAACTCTGAGACAAAGGGAAATTGGGCGTATCAGTCTTAGTAGAATCAGATTCATTCCATCAAAGAGCTGAGAAAATGTGTACAATTCCACACAAACTATAAAAGAAGTCATGAAGGATCAAATCAGGGAAAAGTGTAAGACTTCATGAGAAAGGACATTTGAGACGAAGTGTTCTATCAGAGAGTAGAGTAAATCATTATTAAACTTAAATATCTGCTTAATTTCCTAATATATGTTAGATATTCAGAGTCAACTACAATTATGTTTCAGTTATTAGGATTAGTTAATAAGTAATCAATAATATTAACTCCAAAGCTAACTACACTAGCTTTGCAGCAAAACAAAAAGAAAATAATCACATATAATTTTTATGATAATTTAATATTTATGAGGAATTTATCTATTAACATCAATGTGGAATGAAAGAATGTTCTTACTTACACTAAGTTTGTTCACACTAAGTTCTAGTTACTGAAACCCTTAATGTAATGGTGAACATTAGCCAATTACTGAATGTTCATTCACTCAACAAATAATATTGAGAATTATTGTGAGCCATGTTCTATATTTGGCATACTAATTATTTTGAGCCATGTAGTAAACTGGGGATAAAATGTTGACTGCTTTCAAGAGTATTTACAAAATGGAGAAGAAAATGACAGATACGTGGGCAATTAATACAAACAGAGTAAAATATTTTGAAGAGACAAATAACAGAGTCTTGTAAGAAAATAGGAGGGACCAAGAAGAAAAAAGAATATGAATAGCATAGCTATATATATGATTTAATAAATACACGAGGAACTCTAAACTCAAAGAAGCATAAGCTACTGTTTACAATGAGACCTATAGAACTGGAAGGCATTGATGATATTAGGCCACAAAGAAAATATCCATCAATCTGTGAAAGATGTCATACATGTATTTTGGATTAATATGAAGAACAAATAAATTTTTACAACTTGGCCAAACAACCCATATTTATTCACATACACATTTGTATGTATGTTTAAAGTTTGGTAATTTCTGTGCATATCTGTATGCATTCCTCTATATATGAAAAATAAGAGCACTATATATCAAATCCAAGAGAAAAATAACAAAGCTATTCTCAAAAGACAAATTGAAACCTAATATGTATTTTTTTAAACTAAAGATAGAGAGAAGCATGTAATATTAAATTCTTGTTTTCAATTTTAAAAAGTTATGAAAATATTGAAAATATTTATTTTTACAAACCAGATACTGATGATCAAAGTAAAGAATGAGAAACGTTAATTTATAACATAAAAACTGTTTCTAACAACTTTAAACTCTTAAAAAACAAACATTTGCTTTTCTTAATCTAGACACAAATATGGGAACTCAGAATGTTTAGAGTCTAGCATTTAACTTTCTGTAAAACAGAATTAGAAAAGGAAAACAAACAAAAACTCAAAATAATCTTATATATGATGAAAATTTCATTTATGATGTTCAATGTGAACATGAATACAAATACTCAAATTTTAAAATATATCAAATAAATTCAGTAATTTAAAAATAATTATACTTTTTGATCAACTGAAGCAAATTTCTGAGGTTTAAAAAAGGTAATTATCTTTAAGAGATGGCTTTTCACTGTGTTGCCCAGACTGGACTCAAACTCCTGGGTCAAGCAGTACTCTTGCCTCAGCCTCCCAAGCAGTTGGGACAACAGGTGTATGCCACCACACCTAACTAAGTATTTATTTAAAATGTAATTTAAAACAAAATCTTACTGTAATTCAACTCTATCAATCACACTTGAAATCCAAGAGAAACATAACATAATTGTATGTTTTAAAAAGGTAATTTAAAACAAAATCTCACTATAATTCAATTCTATCAAACACACTAGAAACATAGCAATTTTTTTTAAAAAAGGAAGCCACATGTTCTGACTCATAGGTGGGTGTTAACAATGAGAACGCATGGACACAGGGAGGGGAACATCACATACTGGGATCTGTTGAGGAGTCGGGGGCTAGGGGAGGGATAGTAGGGGATGGAGGTTGGGGAGGAATAATATTGGGAGAAATGCCTGCTGTAGGTGACGGGGGTTGGAGGCAGCAAACCACATGGCATGTGTGTACCTATGCAACAGTCCTGCAAGATCTGCACATGTACCCCAGAACTTAAAGTATAATTTAAAAAAAAAAGAATTTTTTTTTCCTAAGGCACTTTCCTAATGCACTTCTACAAAAATCCATAATATCTCAGATCCAGTTAAAATATTTTCAACACTTTGTTACCATTGATCAATTCCTTTAGATTGACAAACAAAAATTGTATGTATTTATGCTGTACCACATAATGTTTTGATATCTCTGTCAAATCATTGTGGAATGGCTAAATCAAGCAACTTTACACTTACGTTACCTCACATATATTTTCTTTCTTTTTTAAATTATATTTTAAGTTCTGGTATACATGTGCAGAACATGAAGGTTTGTTACATAGGTATACAGGTACCATGGTGGTTTGTTGCATCCATCAACCTGTCATCTACTTTAGGTATTTCTCCTAATGCCATCCCTCCCTAGTCTCTGACCTCATGACAGGCCCTGGAGTGTGATATTCCCCTCCCTGTGTCCATGTGTTCTCATTGTTCAGCTTCCATTTATGAGTGAGAATATGTGGTGTTTGGTTTTCTGTTCCTGTGTTAGTTTGCTGAGAATGATGGTTTCCAGCTTCATCAATGTCTCTGCAAAGGACATGAACTCATCCTTTTTTATGGCTACATAGTATTCCATGGTGTATATGTACCACATTATTTTTATCCAGTCTATCATTGACGGGCATTTGGGTTGGTTCCAAGTCTTTCCTATTGGGAACAGTTCTACAATAAACATACATGTGCATGCGTCTTTATAATAGAATGGTTTATAATTCTTTGGCTATGTACCCAGTAATTAGATTGCTGGTATATATGGTATATATATATATATATAATAATATATGGTATTTCTGGTTCTAGATCCTTGAGGAATCGCCCACTGTCTTCCACAATGGTTGAACTAATTTACACTCCCACCAACAGTGTAAAAACATTCCTATTTATTTTCATACTCTCCAGCATCTGTTGTTTCCTGACTTTTTAATGATCACAATTCTAACTGTTATGAGATGGTATCTCATTGTGGTTTTGACTTGCATTTCTGTAATGACCAGTGATGATGAGCTTTTTTCACATGTTTGTTGGCTGCATAAATGTCTTCTTTTGAGAAGTGCCCATTCATATCCTTCTCTCACTTTTTGATGTTTTTTTTTTTTTTTTGTAGCAAGAAACTTGAAATTTACTCAGTAATTTTTGCTATAGTCATCATGCTATACAATAGAATGCTTGAACTTATCTCTTCCATCTGAGATTTTTGTATCCTTTTGCTAGACCAATCCCCTAGCTTCTGGAAACCACCATTTTGCTTGTGTGAGTCCAACTTTTTTAGATTCCATATATAAGTAAGATTATGTGGTATTTGTCTTTCCGCTCCTGAAATTTCTCTTAAAGTAGGTTCTCTAGGTTCTTTCATGTTGTCATCAAGAATAGGATTTCCTTCCTTTTTATGGCTGAAGGGTTTTCCATTGTGTGTATACACTATATTTTCTTTATTCTTTCACCCAACATTTGCCAGGTTATGAGAAGAAGGCAATTCCTCTGTTTCATGAATGGAATCCTCTAAAAACTTCAACACACATATATGAAATTTCAGAAACATTCTCATTAAATTGGGGAAATGTGAAAGATGGAAAGGATGCCCTTTTTCACAGTGTCTATCCAGCATTATCTTAAGGATCTAGCCAATACAATAAAATTGAAAAAATTACATATATTGGTAATAAATCACCCAAACATATATTTTTCAAAAAATATAATTTTTATACATAGAGTCAATGTACTCAATTGTGGCAAAGCAAAGTTAAAAGAGTTCTATAAGGTATCTAGGATCAAAGGACAACAATTTTCACATGTGTCAGCTATTAGGTTGGTGCAAAACTAATTGTGGTTTTTGAAAGTAACTTAGTAAAAACCACAATGACTTTGGCCCCAACCTAATATATCAACAGTTGTGAAAAGAATTTTAGCTTTTCACTCTATGTTTGTACTGTTTTAGTTTATGTGCATATATGTTGTAGTTTATATATATGTATTACTCTTTTGAAAAATCAGTCTGGTACTCACTTTGGCAGCATATATACTAAATTGAATGAAACAGAGAAGATTAGCATGGCCCTTGTGCAAGGATGACATGCAAATTCATAAAGTGTTCCATATATTTCCTATGGAATAATCACCTTCAGTGACCTGGAGGCCCTTGAGGTGGGCTGGGTGGTGAAAGGAGAGGCCCGCCTGGTGGAAGCAGGGTACAGAAGCCAGGATTTGGAGTGGGAAGGGGGATTGCTCCATGCCAGTCAATCTTCATGGATCTTCATGCAGCCATACAAAACTTAGATCCTACAGAATGGTTAATTTCTTCAACCAGCCATCATGGATTATGGCCACAGTCTATTAACTGCTTAAGTTTTTATATTAAAAAAAAAAAATCTGGCTGTTGTGTGGAAAACAAACATAAGGAGAGAAAAATAAAGGCAAAGAGATTTAAAATGGCTGGCTTAGAAGCCTATAAATTGGACTAAAGTTGAAGGAAGACATCAAGATAGAGACAAGTGGGTGTGTTTAACTTTAAAATCAGAATCGACATATTTTACTTATATGAGTGGTAGGCATGAATGCGTTATTAAGGATAACTCAGATGTTAAAAGGGAAACAATTGCATGGATGTTAAGGTTATCAGAAAGGCACAACCCTGAATACAGAGTTATGATGCACTGAGGAGAAAACTAGGAAAGCAATAAAATTTGGGAATAGTTGACACACAGAAAAGGCAGAGCACAATTGAAGGGATGAGAAATAGACGTGAGGAAAACCACCTCTTCTTTTGTGGTATGGACTAATGAGGAAAACATGGCTACAGATGTGTCATGTTCAACAATGTTCATTCTGTGTGGGTACCCATAGAAGCCATGCACATTACAAACAAAGATGTTAACTGGTTAGAAGCACAGGTTTTGAAGGCAGATAGGTCTGCTATCAATAGCAACATTGCTGCTTAATATCTGGGTTAGTGATTTGGGACAACTTATTTAATCTCTCTAAGCATTTGTTTCTTCATCTGTATTGAAAAGAATAATGCCTGTAGTATTTCCCTCATTATAAGCCTGTGAAGATCGCTAAATATACCACATGAACACGACAAATTATGGTCACTCATACATAGGTAACATTCAGTGAAAGTTTTCTCTATTAGAGTTCTGTATGTTACTATTATGTAGGAAATCTACAATTGTCCATTAAACCATACATTATGAAACATAAAGAAAGCTATGTAGTAAGTTTAACACTGTGCTTGATACCAGGACGGGGAGGTGGGGAGGTGGGAAGAGGTAGCATGGGGAGAAATGACAGATAACAGGTGAGGGGAAGGAAGGCAGCAAACCACACTGCCATGTGTGTACCTATGCAACAATCTTGCATGTTCTTCACATGTACCCCCAAACCTAAAATGCAATAAAAAAGTATAATAGTATTAAATTAGATTTGAATGAATTAAAAAAGTAAAATAGTGCTTAGTAATTCAGACTTAAAAATTTCCTATTCCATGATAACTCATTAAGTTAAAGACAACATACAAAACATTTACACACCTATTCCCAAGTGAGAGGCTAGTAATGTTATTAAAAACTTTAAGATTTTCTGGATAATACATGAATGATGAGGAAAATATTTTTTCTATTTGGATGTAAATTTGGTTTCTTTTTATAATAAAATTTCAATAGGTTATAGTCTTTTTTGTGTTAGCTAGGTGGATTACTCCTGTTTATAATTCCTCTTAAAATCAGTGAACTATCTCTAGAGAAATGAAAGATCAAACAGATGATATGGAGAAACAACTGTTTTACCTTTAAATAGGAAATGTAAACAGATAGGAGTCACTGTTATTCCAGACTAGAATTAATTTGGTTTGTTACATAAACAGAAAGGAACAACTGATACTGATTTAGGTACTATATAACATGTTTATCTGCTTCATAATAATTTGACATACACATGCTCTTGAATCAAGATCAGATGTTTGAATAACCCCCTTTTTATTTGATGCTTCATAGGAATTTTTCCTAGGGAATAAAATTTTTATTCATTTATAAATTCATTCAATTGACCTATTTGTATTCTGAAGATCTAATTTTGTAAACGGAGTTCTACTTTTTTGATATCCAAATTCCATTAGTTTTGGCATAGTTTTCAGTGTTCATGCTCTTATATTCTTAGTAAGTGGATTTGGCAGTTTAACAATAATCAATATTCTATTCTGCACATTCATTCACTTGCCATGTTATGCTCTTGCTTTTGCAAGACTGTCTTATATTCTTTTTTTTTTTTTTTTTTTTTTTGAGACAGAGTTTCCCTCTTGTTACCCAGGCTGGAGTGCAATGGCGCAATCTCAGCTCACTGCAACCTCCGCCTCCTGGGCTCAGGCAATTCTCCTGCCTCAGACTCCTGAGTAGCTGGGATTACAGACACGCGCCACCATACCCAGCTAGTTTTTTTTTTTTTTTTTTTTTTTTTTAGTAGAGACGGGGTTTCACCATGTTGACCAGGATGGTCTCGATCTCTCGACCTCGTGATCCACCCGCCTCGGCCTTCCAAAGTGCTGGGATTACAGGATTGAGCCACCGCGCCCGGCCAACTGTCTTATATTCTTGTGATTCCTAGTCTGTCATGAGAATTCTGCAGTTGAGGAAGTTATTTCCCCTAGGAGTTTCAAATCAGGATCTCTGTCTCTTAACCTCGAACATTATGAAAAACTCTATGTCAAAATTTTGGTTCGTTTCATGTAGGAATTGGGCTGTATTATTTAGTGGTCTTCTCTTTTAATGTTTAAATTATTATCATCAGAGTAATTTTAACCATTTTATCTCTTTTGTGATTTTTTTTTATTTTAGGTAAAATTATTAATATCAGTATTTCTTAAGTCATGAGTTATGATATTCAAACTGCTTTAGATTTAAGTGGAAATAGGTAAGTTCATTTTCTGTATGTTTTTCTGACTTAAGGCAAACATTTTATTTAGAATAACATAGAGCACCATTTTATTAAAAGCATAGTTAATCTGAAACTCTCTAAGTAAAAGTACACCTCATCAAAATTATGTTTATTAGATATCATATTTTTAAAGAGCAAAACTGTCTTGGAAATGGGATATCTGGGCTTGAGATTCACCTCTTTCTGTGGTACCCTAAATTTTTCATAGTAATTATTTTTCTCAAAGCTTCAGACTAAATTACTTAAGTAAAAATATATTACTAACATAATAATAATATTGTGAATATTTTTTCCAGGAAAGCAAAAGGCATAGAGTATAGTCCTATTTTCTGCCATTATTTAGTCATATGTCACTGCCAAAAATCAATCTCTGAGAAGGAAGTTTTCTCATGTCTACAGGTTTTGAATAGATGACTTTTAAAATTATCTTCAGATCCAAAAAGTCTCAGATTATTTATTCAAGAAAATTGCTTGCTAGGTACAGGAAAATCACCTATATTTTGAAAAAAGATTTAGAAATGAGAATTATAGTCTTTCTTATAATCAGTGTTCTGCTTTACATATAGTAGTATCAATCACCATTTCTAAATTATTTAAAATTTTTATATCTTTCCCATCTATCCCTATTTTATTTGGATCACTTATCTGATTCTACATTTTTCTACCCACCGTCTGTTAGCATAAATTCTAGATAAAAGCAGGATCTGTTATAATATGTATGAGTCATTTAATTTCCCTGTATGGTTTTCTTAATGAGTATTTTTTATTAGGAAATTAAGTCAACAACGCAAAAGAAAATACTTTTCAGAGCACATATTATTTTTATTAAATATCACAGTACAAAATATATCATTATCTGTCATTATTAGAGTGAGCACAAAATGCTTCCAATATACCAATGATCAGTTGGATGCAAACTTGAATTTTTACCCAAAGAATCACAGGAATGAAGCTTCGCCTCACTAAGCTACTTGTTTTCCTTAAGTCAACAGTTCAAATAGTGAAATTATGATTACCCAATATGTCATTATTAATATTATTTTATGATACAGCTCCAATATCAATTGCTTTCTTCCTAAACCAGTTCTTATTTTGAATTTCTTTAGGGCAATGTAATTTCTATTTGGGATGCTGGTTTTTTATATACAGGCTGAGAATAAATGATCCCCTACTTTCACTACTTTCAGAGGGTTGGGAGCAACCCAGTCCTTTTACCAGTCTAGTGGGATGTTTCCAGGTGAGGCTTAAAGTAAACAAAATGGTTACTGGAACTCTCTGACATAAAGTTACCTCAAGAACCAACAAGTAGCTACACACCAAAAATAGACAGCATTGAGGGTAAAATCAGAGAAGTGGGATTTCAAATGGCCAAACAGGGTAAATGGCTCTAAACCAGAGAAAAACTAAAAGATAACAAGTTTGAAAGAGTCTGAAAAAAAGTAGGGTGTGAGAGAGAACAAGAACCTGTCTGGAAGTAGAGTAAATGCATCTTCTTCAGGCCATTTTCATATCAAATTAAGTAAGTACTCTTACTTAATTCAATATTGCTAAGGAAGTTCTAGTTTTAAGGCACAGACTGAGAATGAAAATTAGAGCTCCTTAAGCAACATAACATATTTATCTTCCAATCTTTACAGTTGAATACCTGAGCTTGGCATATAATTGTAATGAAGGACAAGAAGTAGGTAGAGAAAAATGTAAAGATAAACTGGAATAAAAGATACAGAAAGCAGTACTTTAAAAGGTAAAGAGAGAAGACTGAAGGGTCTCTAATCTTAAAAGATATGACCAAAACATCAAAGTAAATATTTTGTTCACTATATTTTTGTAGTTGAATTACAATCCCATTAGCTGTCTTATTCCTTAACTTCTACTGTACTTTACAGGTAGCCTAATGAAACTTGAATAATTTAATCCTCTCTTACCACATAACTTGATCCTTTGCTTTTTTGTCCAGCCAATAGTTGCTAATAAACATGGGAAATAGATGTAGAAGGTTATTTTATTATTTTTTCTCAGTTGAATCGTATCAGGTCTCTAGCGGTATGAACTTGTAGCTATGTAATCCTTTGACTGCCTTAGATTATACTTATAAATCCAAGATAAGCATCTGTAATACATGTTAGTTTGCACAGACATATTCTCAAAAGGGAAAGTTTGCTAAGCAAAAATCTG